CACACACACACACACACACACACACACACACACACACACACACACACGAGATAGTATAAATACTTTTAAACAAATGGATCCTTTTCCTTTTTCTCTGATCTCTTTGGGATATAAGCATAGTACTGATAACACTAAGGTTAAAGGGTATGAAACATTTATATTCCAGATCTATGTAGATGATAGAAATAGTGAAAAATACATTTATTTATATCCTTACCACACTCTCAGCATATTACATAAAATGATTCAATCACCATGTAGGGAATTCCCAAATATGAAAATTTCTTCCAACATCAAAGTTTTGTACCTTATCTATGACTTAATAAATAAGTTCTAAGGAGTTGCTTGAGGCAAGTAGATGAGAAGTCCTTGCCTAGGGTTAAACTACTTGTAAATAGGATTTAAATACAGAAGTAATATGTGATTGCCCGTCTTCTTAACTCTGAGTCCAGAATATTGTCCAGTATGCCACACTGGTTCTATGGAGGCAGAAGAAGTAGCAGTAGCAGCAGCTACACTGGCACAAAGCAAGAATAGTAGCAGTACCAGTAGTAATTTCCACTTCTATAGTCTTTTGAGTTTGCAAAGTGCCTCACATCCAGTAAGTGAACTCATTTTCTATCTGTAGCAATCCTATCAGACAGGATTTTCCCCATTTTACAAACAAGGCAAGGAAGACTGATATAATTCTTCCCATTTTTGAAGCAGGATTCAAATCCACTTGACTTGAATGAAATCTCGAATTTATCTAATTCTGAGTCTTTAATGTTTCGTTCAATTATTGTGTTACAATCTAGGACATGGGTGGGGAACCTAAGGCCTCAGGGTCACATGTGGCCTTCTAGGTCCTTGGGTGTGGCCTTTTCACTGAGTCCAAGTTTTACAGAAAATATTCTTTTATTAAGGGGATCTGTTCTGTGAAATTTGGATTCAGTCAAAGGGCCACACTTGAGGACCTAGGACATGTGGGCTCAAGGCTGCAGGTTCCCCACCCCTGAATTCTAGGTCTTTTTGTAATTCAGCAAATTTTTCACAATGAACTTGAATTTTATAGAATTTGGAATACATATCAAATAATGTTACTACTTTTTGATACTTCATATTACTTGCACAAAATCAGAACTTCTAGCAGCAAATAAAGAAACTAGCTAAGAAAGGTGCTTTTTGACATACTTATTCATTGAGGGTTGCTCTAACATGAAACCAGTTTGGTGAGGATAAAAACAAACAAACCAATGATAAGAGGAAAAAAAAAGATAGCCCAGAAATACTTCTATTCCTCAATGAGTCTGTGATCTCATCAATGAGAGTATTCTCTCTAATGATGCAGTTTACAATTCATCCACGCCCTCGCTGATTGTACAATCTTTGTCAATGTCTTTCTGTCCATTGACCTGAAAGGAGCCAGTCATGGTCCTTAGGGAATTACCCTCAATCTCACTATTACATGGATAGCAATAGAGCATGTGGGTAATCCCTTGGTTATCCCTTTTCCTCACTATGGGACTACTAGTCGAGCTTCGTTTATGGACATATACCTATATGCTAACATCCTTTATGCTACTTCTCCTTTACAATTTTTTATTGGTGATGTGTTTCCATTTGTTCACATGTACATTGTGCAACTTCCTGTTACATTTTTGGAGACCTTCAACCTGAATTCTTCAGAAGCTATGGTATTCTATGTCTTGTAGCCATAAAGTACCACTGAAGAATTATCTTTATTTTAATGAGCCTTTTATTCAGGTAAACACTTGGTGAACTAGCATTTTTGCTGAGGAAATCTAGCCAGTGACCCTTCTCCTCCTCTTTAATTATAGGTATAGGTATAATTCTAGGTATAGTTCATTGACCATTGGCATTATCAGTACAAGATTTATGTGCTAATAGAATATTTTATAGGTTGTATGGACAACTCAATGTCCTAAGTCTGGACAATAAGCAGTCTTCATCTCATTTAGGAAGTTCTGCAATGTTGCTGCAGGCCTTAATGTAATTAGCATAATTTCGCCAGCAAACTGGAGCATTTGAAGGACCCCACCATCTATAAAGAATCTGTCTTCCATTTGGACTCTGGGTAGAACATATTCCATAACAGTGGCAAACACATAGGACAAGCATAGGTCTTCATATTTTATACCTGATATAAGGGATTAGAGAGTTATTGAACAAAATCATCTCTATTGTTGCATATTCAAGGAATCTTGTATGATTTTTGATACATATATGGAAAACACTTTGGCAGATAAATGAATTTAAGATGGAATTTTGTTCCTATTGATCAAATGCTTGTTTATGGCAAACAGAACATAAACACAACATGATCCAGTATACACTGTACCACTTAGTGTTATTATAAAGGTATTGTATGTTAAAAAATGCTCTTACAGTTGCATAACTTCATCAAGGCTTCCTTCAATGTACATGTGGATTATTCTCATAGCAATTTTATAGAGATGGGAAAGTATAAACATTACTTGAAAGTAATGTTATAGATTATGAATTCAGATGACTCAAATTAAGCACTTCTCTTTAGCATGGATCACTTCTAAATATTGTACTTGTGTCTTCACAATCAAGTCATTCATTTTACTATGGACTACTGATCAAATGTCTTTTGTACTTGATATGGCTCAGTCACCATAACTAGGAGTCAGAAGAGTTAGATTCTCTGTCTCTAACAAACTGTCTAATATTAGACAAACCAATTACTTTTCAAAGAATGAATTTTCTTTATCTCAAAAATTATGGTGTTCCTCTCTAAGATCAGAGATTGTCTTGTAACTTTTATTCTACAGTGGGCATAACACGGTTCCATGTACACAATGGCACTCAATAAGAAAGTATTGATGGATCTAAGTTTTCTTTCAGCTCCGAAATTCTATGATCCTAGTATTATCTAATATTTCTTCCAGTTTAACCCCAAGCATCTAGGTATCTTTGTTGTATAGCTCATTTAAACTTGACTTTCACTATGAAAAATATGGGTCTTTCTGATTAGGCGTATTATAATTTACTCCTTTATTTACCTTACATTTATGAAGCAACTATTACACCTAAGATCAGTCAGTCAATGTTTAAGCATCTATTCTGTGCAAAGCACTGTAGTAAGTGCTGAAAGCTGAAAGATAGTTCCTGCCTTCAAGGAGCTCACATTCTAGTAGGGGAGATACCATGTAAAGAACTATGTACAAACCAATAGTAGAGATATTCTGGTGATATGATAAGGAATAAAATTAGGGGATTGGATTTAATGACAGTTTGGCTGTCATCTAACTCTGAATTCTAAAAGTATGGAATGTCTAAGCACTAGCTTGTGAATTGATTTAGATGATCCATCCCCAGTATGTAAGATATTTAACTAGTCTACATGAATCCAGTCTAGCTGCCAACATTGTAATTGAATTTATTCTTATTCCCACACATATATTTGCTTTAGCTCTTCTGCCTGAGTCAGGTACATGTTTACTTTTTCCACAAAACTTCATACTATAATAAAACTTAGCATTTTCCTAGTTCTGGCCCCCTTTTCTGTATTAATGGCAAATTCATTGGTGAACAAATGAAATTTCAATAGTTAAAAGTTATATAGTGGTAGAAAAACCATATTTCTAACCCTGTATTGATGGTTACACATATAGTGGGAAGGTCTGTAGATGGGCGTTTCCCACAATGTTTACATCTAAGGGATCCTTACTCAGGGGAGGAAATTATCTAGCCTATTATCTCTTGGAGGACTGTGAGTGAGCCGGCCACATGGTGATGGTATCCAAATAAGATTCTGATTGGATAAGGAATACCCATACTATAATAGACTTAACAAAAAAAATGAAGACAGTCTTGTGAAAAGGGAAATATGGATGTAGAGATGGTAATAGAAGAGTCACAAAATAAGACACTTGTCTTTGACACCCTGAAACTCATCTCTGTGATAAGAGATTCCATCATTTACCTGGCCAAAAAAAAGTCAAATGTCAACACTCTCTGTCTATAGCACTGAGAAAAATCAGCACTTACAAGACTGTCTCATTAGTATTGAAAGGGGAATGATTAAGCAAGAATACTTTGGACTATAACCTTCAAAGCCCATGCCCTGAGTGATCTGAAAATGATCTTGTCCCACTGTGTTTGGGGGACAGATTAATTAGGGACTTTATACTACAAGGAATGGGAGGTGACATCCATTTGTTATAGATACCAAGAATATTTACTATCTGACTCAATTTGTTGTTATTTACCATTTGAGTCTGTTTCATTAAATAACCTTTGCTCTAAATTTGTATTTTACCAGTCCTTTTTTTTTTATATTTTTAGGCAAGGATACAGTAGTGGGGTTCAAAACTTTGTATTAAAAGAGTTGCTTACTTAAGCAGTACTCTTTAACATAGTACCTGATATAACTGAGAGTGGTACTACACATAAAATAAAAGGCAACATGATTAACAAAAAGTGAATCCTTCAAAATGTGAGTTTTAGGGACAACAATAATCATATTGGCAATCGAGCCACAGCATGTTTTGTAATGAGTATTTTACATGCATATCTTTAGTGAAAGAAACATG